ATATATTGAACTTACTCTAGGTGATCTGTTCTTCTACTTCTCTTCTAGTAATAGTGGTAACTGCTCTGCAATTATTTTTCTTTCGTTTCTTTCTTTCTCCGTCTCTTTCCTCTTTCTCCTCCTCTTCTTCTCCTTCTTTCTTATTCACAAGTCTGTACAGACGTTGTTGATGAACATACTATAGACTTCTGTTATGTTGACCCCCGTCGAAACGTTTTGCTTTCTCTTACTATAAGATCGATTCTATAATTCTCAAATTTCAGGACGACAACAAAGTGAGAGAAACATCACTGATCGAATTACATTGGGCGAAAGGAAAGTGTATATATATATATCGTATTGTGCTAATTGCAAAAGAAATGTTTTCATACGTTGGCTCTCTTTTTTTTTCATACCATCAGGAGTATAAATCAATGTATCTCTTACTTCTATTGTCTTATATCGTTCTTGGATAAGTAAATCTACTATGATATTAATAATAAATAACAAAAGAGACAGAGAGAGAGAGGAAGAGAATAGTAAAGTATCATCAAACAACATCGATCAAGGTATTCACCTCTATAATCACATACATATTTCATAGAATGTCAAGGTTGGTCTCTTGTCTATGTCGATGATATGAATAGAGTATATGAACTCGAAAATTGATCCATTGTATAGGACATGCTACACACGTGGATGCACATTCGTATACATCTGGATACATTTTCAACGGGCCGACGAACAGGCGAGAACAACTATAGATAATGGGATGTTGTCTAAGACTAATTGCTCAATGAGTGAAGAGCAGAAATGTAGACACAACATATATATTAACGAGTTGCTTTTGCATCCAATCAAGGATATGTATGTATACAAAATAATGGCTTATTCGAATTGTAAAAATGTGAATTATGTCGATGGTATAGATAAATAATCACTTATACACATTGAGATGAGAGAAAAAAAAGAACAATAAAGGCCTTTTATTCAGTCAGTTTCACGTTGTACTCACATCTGTTCTTTATACATTCATTTTCTTCTTTTTTCCCTGCTATACTACTGTTACTAAACGAATGAGAACAAGCAGCTGCTTTTCAAGTGTCTCGCACTTCTTTGTCTGATGTTAAACGTACGTACAAAAGGCGATTATATCAGGTCAACTGGAGACGAAAAGCCGATGTTGAACAAGGTAAATGGCGATGATGTCATAAGAAAAAGTGCGATGACCAACAGGCGCAGAGATTTAGTTTATTTACTCGAGGTTCAACGGTCAGCCGTCTAATCAATCTCTCTCTCTTTATCCTCACCTACATATACATACACAGAGACTGATTAAGATACATGAAAAACAAAAATATTTATATGAATTCTTTCGTCTTATGAAATGAGACACAATAAGAAAAAAAACTCAAATGTTCTCACGTGCGTAGTACAAAGTACAAAATGCAACGATGCCTTTCCCCCCCTTTATCATCGGACACTACATTTTTCAGCGAAACTTGACTTATTCATTCGATGACTTCAATCATCATCATCATGATGAAATCCAAGTAGCATGAACAATTTTTTCGAACAATGAACCGTATATCATCAAATTACGGATAATAATTAATGATCACCACCATCTGTTTCTTTTTTATTCTGACACAAAAAAAACGATGATCTATGAAGATATCAACATTCACTTTCTTAACGAAATTCGATCGAACATAACGATGCCGGCTTGTCAGTGCGATGGTCCATGATCATATTGAATGAATTTCGATAGATGTCGCGCGTTCGCAAGGCGTTTTAATTGAATAACAAAGAAAAAAATTGGAAAAGAAAGCGAGAAAACCGAAAATATTTTCCAACGAAGAACATTTTCTTGTTTTCTTACCAAGTATATCATTCAACTCAGTGATGCATTTGGTGCTAAATTACACATCTGACATTCTTTGTTTTCCTCTAAATTGTTCAACAAGAATGGCTGCTAGTCATAAGAGGAAAAAAATAAAACATCTTATCATTCTTTGTGTTAATGTCATTTTGTTCCAGATTTTGCTTCATTTTTTTCCTACGAAGTCACATTCATTAAATCTCGGAAGTGTCTGTGACCATGATCAACGAGAGCCATCCATCTCCGACTGGCTCTTCGTCATCCTCCTTGTTCGGTAAGACGTTTGTTTTTTTCTTCGATTCCTACCAATACGGCTTGGAAAATATGTAGACAATATCGTTTATCTTTGACGTGCACATTGCTTGCTTCGTTTTCTGTTCAGCACATGATCTCCTTCTTCTTCTTTATCTGAAATTAGGCAGTGGAGGTGGTGCTGGTGTGAATGAACCTTTGACTCAACCGATCCCAGCTAAGCCAACATGGGCGCAAATTCTCAATTCAAATCCGAATGTCCCGTCCAATACGAGCGCAGCAGCAACGTCATCATCATCATCAGGAATGAACGCAAGTAATAATAATAATGCGACAGCAGGTGGAAATAACTCTCCATCCTCCTCTTCACCTTCTTCTCAACATTCAACAGCAGCCAAACCGATCTCACCATCGGCAAGTGGTACATCAAATGCATCAGGTACACGGCAAGGCTTTATGCCGAACTTCTATGATCAACCTCAATCTCAAATGAATTGGCCTTTAAATTTTAATCAATCATCATCATGGATGATCAATGAGGATGAATCGCAAAGAAAAACAAATAGTTCTTCACAACAAAATGCTGAGAATCCAAAAGCTGGTGGTGATGGTACGCAGTTTTTTTTAATTTTCGCTTCCTTCCGCTTCTTATTTTGATATGATTTATTTGATTTGGCTTCAGGAGAAATAATTATCGTCTTTGTTTGTCTTGTTATTCAGGTTTTGATCGAGTTGAGTCGTCAAGTCCAACATCGGATTGGAACAAGCCGGTGGCATCGAATAATTCAAGTGCTAATGGTTGGTCAAATTTTCAACAACAACAGCAGCAGCAAACACTGAATAATCCGTCCAGATCAAATCCGAATAGCAATCAATGGCCAGAAATGAATAATTTCTATGGAGCTAATGCGTCAACTAACTCATTTAATTTACCGCAACAGAATACCGACAACACTAGGTTTGTAATATAAAATTAAAAGCCGCTGTTGATAATATCTAACTTTTTTTCGTTTTGTCTCATTCCAGTTCATCGACAACATGGCAGGATCCATCAGCAACGGGCAATGTTGATCCAGTGACATTGACAAGTAATAATGATTCAAAGAATAAATCTGCTCCAATTGTTGCTTCACTTTCAGGTGCGTTGAAATCTGCCATTGCACTGAGCGGAAGCGGCAATGGCGAGCTTTTAGGTGGAAATGGTGATACAATGATAAACTATGTTCCACAACCGAAACTTGTGGAACAATTAGGTTGGGATGAACCTGATATCAATGTTTTGAAACGTGCTAATTTCGATGATGGAACATCGATTTGGGGTGATCCTATGGAACTAATGTCTGTTCCAGTCAAGAAATGGACGAATGGAACAAAAGCTGCGTTAGCAAATTCGACTAATATTATTGTACAACAGCAGCAACAACAACAACAACAAACGCCGCAGATCGTTCAGAAGCCTGTTTCGACTGTAACCACTCCATCAGCAACATCTTCTCAAATGGTGCTCAATGACGAAAATTGGCCCAAACAACAATCGCCAACTATGGTTCAACAGCCAATATCACAATGGAATGATACCGCAACACCCTCCAACATGGATCAACCTAATATTGCACAGGCACAGAACTATCGTCCTCAGCAGAATAATTGGAATTCGCATGGGACCGACGAATGGTTTCGCGAAGGCGTTGTCGACACAAGCGATTGGGGCTTACAAGGTCCACCGCAAAAGGCACCATTTGATCCGTACAAAGATCAAATTGATACCAGTAATTGGGCAGTACAATCGTCAGGTGGCATGCCAGGACCGTTGCCACCGATGCCCGTACGAAACCGTTTTCCGAATGAATATGATTTCACTGAAAATCCTCACGATGTTCGAATGCCTGCATTTGATAATTCGCCACATGGTGATCCTTATCGTCAAAATTCTGATATGAAAACTTCAATGGGAAATTTTCCCGGTATGATGCCATCATCTCATCATCCATTTCCTCCACGGCCAGGCCAACACTACGGTTCTCAGCAAGGAAATATTCTTCGACCAATCAATTCGAATGCCGCTTCATCGACACCATCCAACGTGATGATGAATCCAAGTAGTCATTTATCACCCAAATTACCGACATCATCACCGGTACCAAATCAAGCTCCATATGTTCCAGGAGGCGGAAAATCGAATTCGATTCCAAATCCATCAGCTCAACCGCCAACATCATCTCAGCCAGCAGGAAATGGAAATAACAACGGTACTGTACATGCTCAAATTATGCAACAATTTCGTCTCGCTGTACAAGCCGGTTTAATTAGTCAAGATTTGCTCAATACAAAACTACCACCAAATATGTTACAGGTAAGAACCAGCAATCTGAATCTTTCGAAAATGCTTATTTTGACTTTCTCTTCAAGCTTCTTCAAAAACTCTTCGAATTACAACAAAAATTTCAACAATTAACCAGTCAATTAAATGATTTAAGTAAAAACAAAACGCGTTTTCCAATGCCAATGCTACAAAATGAATACGATCGTTTAACAAAATTATTAGCACAAAAGAAACAAGAAATGCTAAGTGTACAAAGAGAAATTCAAGATGCGCATGCAAAATTAAAACAACAATCAATGAATCAAACGCCTACACCAACACAAATGATGTCAAATGGACCCGTTAGTCAAAATACAGATCAATCACGTTTAACTCAATGGACAAAACAATCGACGATTGGTGGACCACGATCATCTATGTTCCCACCGCCACCAGGCTTAGGTCAAAAAGATTGGCAAACAGATAATAGCGATCCGAATGAAAATTGGGACAATAGTCAAGCACATGAATCAAATAATGCGAATCAAGTTGGCAATGTCGATCCTCATGGACATAGTAGTCAAGTGTCATCAGGAGCATTTTCCGATCCATTTTCAAATCTCGTTGATGATATTGAAGGACCACCTCCGTTCGTGCCGGGACAACTATGGAACTGGAAATCTTCATTACCAAATATTGAAGATGATCCACATGTGACACCAAGTTCATTAACAATGGGTCCAAAAGGATCACCATTACCAATGGGTAATCTCAACGTTGGCGGAGCCGAAAGGTAAGTAACAATCGAAGCGAACAGAACTGTTTTGTTATTCTCAATTCGGTGTTTTCTTTCTAGTGCTTTTTCAAATCCTCATTCTATGCATCAATATCCTCGTCAATTACAATCAAATCGTTCTCAATGGCAACAAGGATCCATGCATGATCAACAAGGTTTTCAATCAACGATGAATGATTGGGGTAAACAACAACAATTTCGAGGTCCATCAAAAGCACCACCATCTCATCCTCCACCTTATGGTAATGCTAGCAGTTATCGACCATACATGTAAAAGACAAGTTAGCGCGAGTTTCTTACATTTCTGTGTTCTTTCTCGGCCAAAACAAAGTCAGTGAAATGATAAAAACTGTGTCCTCTTTGTCTCATTAGAATCGTGTATATTTACATTTCACGCTCTTTCATTAATGTGTATCTTTCTTTTTGTCGACGAAATTACTGTGTATTCATTGTGTTTCTTTTTTCCGCTCTTTCCGTCAAAATGCTGCACTGAGAATTCCCTCCCGGTACCATCCATTGTGCGTGTATGTCTCTATTGTTCTCTTTTTTTTTCTCTTCTTCTTCTTCTGGTGTGATCTACGCTCTTTATTTAACGGCCGAGCTTCATATCGACAAAACAAAATGAACGAACTAAATAAGATCTTTTATTGCTATTCTGTGCAATACAATTCTTTTTTTTTCTTCTCTTCTCTCGCACGTAAAAGAAAATAAGTTTTTTTGTTTGTTTGTCTTCTTGTAGTGTGTGATGCTTTTAGCTATATATACATATATATATATACATATATCATTCTATATGGTTGTGGTGTGTATATTAATTCATTTAGTTTGTCTGTTCATTTTTTTCGCGTTCTGATTTCTTCCTGATTCATTTTCATTGTCTCTTGACACTGCTATGAAAAAAAAATCGAAAGTAGATATAAGATCTCTTTTAAAACAAATATTCAGTTGTTGTGAATGAAAATTTTCACATTTCTGTGTGCATATAAGTGTATGTCGTTGTTTTTTTGACTTTGAAGAAAACAAAACCGGAATTTCGAAGAAACAAATCGATGGTGATGACGGAATAATCAATGGTTTTTGCGCTGTGTATAGAATTAAGCAAATAACCCTTGTTGTGTGTATATCTGTATCTTCTATAGCCCTATTGCGCTGATCTTTTTTTTATGTGGCACTTTCTTTTCCTTGTTTGTTTTCTTCGCCTATGTTCTCTCAAAATCTACTATACTAATAAATAAATACATTTGACGAAAAACGAAAACATCCGACGTGTGTACGTCTTGACATCGATTGGAAATTTTCGATGCTCGATGCAAAAAAAAAAAGAAGTCCTTGCGAACTCAATTATGAAAACATTGTACTCTCAACCATAGTATCGACTGCCATTTCTGGATCATTTCCTAGAAAAAACAGTATAAACAAACAAAGGTTTAAAAAGACATTAGTTTCCGGTCGAAGACACAAGAAATCATCGACATTAACCAAAAGGGACTAGTTGATGAAAAATGTTGATTAGACAAATGAGAAGAGAATCTCGGAAAGATAGTTTAATCGAATGGGTTAAAACATGTGCAAAATCACGATTCATTGGATCGAATCTAACTTACAGAACTGATGATGTCGAATGATGTTTAAACAACACCTTTTACCTGCTTATTCATTGATGAGAACTTATCAAATTCGCTGACGACATCGAATCTCGTTCTTTTTCGGAAAAATCCTTTGTCACTAGATCAGGTATACCATGTTTTTCTTCTCACACGGAGCTGAAGAACGAAATATCTGATTAATTGAAACACTCCTTGTCCACTTGCACAAGTGCATTATTTTTGTCAAACATTCACGTTGATGATGAGTCTCTCCGCTAAAAGCATCATTTCATGTAGAAAACAAGAATCTGCCTAGTGTAACAATAGGTTCGAATTCTTTTCGATTCCAACCCATTGTTCTGATTTGTCAAACAAAAGCAAGGAAGCGAGGTAATACGATTTATTTTTCTAAGTAATTTGATTGTAATCGATGAATAGAATTTCGAACATGTCGAGTTTGTCAAAACAAAACTGCACATTTGTTGAATGATTAAAATTGCATTCCGAGTAAATGTTCTGTTTAATTAAAGATTTCGTTCTATTTACATGAAATACACAAACTTCCCTTTTCATTTCCTCGCTTGTCATTTTTCTTTGCCATTCGCTTGCTTCTAGCTACATATATATGTAACACCTCCGACTGGAAATAATCAGTACTCGCTAGCATATTCTCATATGAAGGATGCTTTCGCACACGCACGTCATAGTTCTATGTAAATAATTACATTTCAATTTCGCATTCTTCTTATTGATTTAAGGTGTTTTCTTTGTATTTGTATGCGAATTAATTTTGCATGTATCTTCTAGCTATACAGGATTGCCTGACGATACTTGCGTCAGAACTCATATGCCGAGATCCATTCGAGTGAATAAATCGATCTCTGCGGAGATATTGTTGATGGTAGAGGAAAACTCAAGCANATATATTGAACTTACTCTAGGTGATCTGTTCTTCTACTTCTCTTCTAGTAATAGTGGTAACTGCTCTGCAATTATTTTTCTTTCGTTTCTTTCTTTCTCCGTCTCTTTCCTCTTTCTCCTCTTCTTCTTTCTTATTCACAAGTCTGTACAGACGTTGTTGATGAACATACTATAGACTTCTGTTATGTTGACCCCCCCGTCGAAACGTTTTGCTTTCTCTTACTATAAGATCGATTCTATAATTCTCAAATTTCAGGACGACAACAAAGTGAGAGAAACATCACTGATCGAATTACATACGACGAAAGGAAAGTGTATATATATATATCGTATTGTGCTAATTGCAAAAGAAATGTTTTCATACGTTTGCTCTCTTTTTTTTTATACCATCAGGGGTACAAATCAATGTATCTCTTACTTTGATTGTCTTATATCGTTCTTGGATAAGTAAATCTACTATGATATTAATAATAAATAACAAAAGAGAAAGAGAGAGGGGAATAGAATTGTAAAGTATCATCAAACAACATCGATCAAGGTATTCACCTCTATAATCACATACATATTTCATAGAATGTCAAGGTTGGTCTCTTGTCTATGTCGATGATATGAATAGAGTATATGAACTCGAAAATTGATCCATTGTATAGGACATGCTACACACGTGGATGCACATTCGTATACATCTGGATACATTTTCAACGGGCCGACGAACAGGCGAGAACAACTATAGATAATGGGATGTTGTCTAAGACTAATTGCTCAATGAGTGAAGAGCAGAAATGTAGACACAACATATATATTAACGAGTTGCTTTTGCATCCAATCAAGGATATGTATGTATACAAAATAATGGCTTATTCGAATTGTAAAAATGTGAATTATGTCGATGGTATAGATAAATAATCATTTATATACATTGAGATGAGAGAAAAAAAAGAACAATAAAGGCCTTTTATTCAGTCAATTTCACATTGTACTCACATCTGTTCTTTATACATTCATTTTCTTCTTTTTTTTCCCTGCTACTACTGTTACTAAACGAATGAGAACAAGCAGCTGCTTTTTCAAGTGTCTCGCACTTCTTTGTCTGATGTTAAACATACGTACAAAAGGCGATTATATCAGGTCAACTGGAGACGAAAAGCCAATGTTGAACAAGGTAAATGACGATGATGTCATAAGAAAAAGTGTGATGACCAACAGGCGCAGAGATTTAGTTTATTTACTCGAGGTTCAACGGTCAGCCGTCTAATCAATCTCTCTCTCTCTCTTTATCCTCACCTACATATACCTACATATACATACATAGAGACTGATTAAGATAGATGAAAAACAAAAATATTTATATGAATTCTTTCGTCTTATGAAATGAGACACAATAAGAAAAAAAACTCAAATGTTTGCACGTGCGTAGTACAAAGTGCAAAATGTAACGTTGGCTTTTTCCCCCTCTCTATCATCGGACACTGCATTTTTCAACGAAACTTGACTTATTCATTCGATGATTTCAATCATCATCATGATGAAATCCAAGTAGCATGAACAATTTTTTCGAACAATGAACCGTATATCATCAAATTACGGATAATAATTAATGACCACCACCATCTGTTTCGTTTTTTTTATTCTGACAAAACACGATGATCTATGAAGATATCATCCTTCATTTTCTTGAGGAAATTCGATCAAACATAACGATGCCGACTTGTAAGTGATGATCATCGAATAAATTTCGATAGATGTCGTTCATTCACAAGGCATTTTAATTGAATAACAAAGAAAAAAATTGGAAAAGAAAACGAGAAAAACGAAAATATTTTCGAACAAAAACCATTTTCTTGTTTTCTTCTCAAGTATGTCATTCAACTCAGTGATGCATTTGGTACTAAATTACACATCTGACATTCTTTGTTTTCCTCCAAATTGTTCAACAAGAATGGCTGCTAGTCATAAGAGGAAAAAAAATAAAACATCTTATCATTCTTTGTGTTAATGTCATTTTGTTCCAGATTTTGTTTCATTTTTTTCCTACGAAGTCACATTCATTAAATCTCGGAAGTGTCTGTGACCATGATCAACGAGAGCCATCCATCTCCGACTGGCTCTTCGTCATCCTCCTTGTTTGGTAAGACGTTTGTTTTTTTCTTCGATTCCTACCAATACGGCTTGGAAAATATGTAGACAATATCGTTTATCTTTAACTTGCACATTGCTTGCTTCATTTTCTGTTCAGCACATGATCTCCTTCTTCTTCTTTATGTGAAATTAGGCAGTGGAGGTGGTGCTGGTGTGAATGAACCTTTGACACAACCGATCCCAGCTAAGCCAACATGGGCGCAAATTCTCAATTCAAATCCGAATGCCCCGTCCAATACGAGCGCAACAGCAACATCATCATCATCAGGAATGAACGCAAGTAATAATAATAATGCGACAGCAGGTGGAAATAACTCTCCATCCTCCTCCTCACCTTCTTCTCAACATTCAACAGCAGCCAAACCGATCTCACCATCGGCAAGTGGTACATCAAATGCATCAGGTACACGGCAAGGCTTTATGCCGAACTTCTACGATCAGCCTCAATCTCAAATGAATTGGCCTTTAAATTTTAATCAATCATCATCATGGATGATCAATGACGATGAATCGCAAAGACAACCAAATAGTTCTTCACAACAAAATGCTGAGAATCCAAAAGCTGGTGGTGATGGTACGCAGATTGTTTTAATTTTCGCTTTCTTCTGCTTCTTATGTTGATACGATT